ATATATATATATATATATATATATATATATATATATATATATATATATATCTTCGACACAATTACCTTGTTTGCATCACCGGGTGATGTTTGGATAGACAGCTCTTTCAGAGCCAGTCCATTGGAGAATCAATGCTATGATTCAACGTTTTTGTAAGTGGGTTAGATGCAACAAACGTGACTTGATGGTCTTTCTAGTCATTCCAGTCTTTTACATACTACTCATTATGAAATATATATATATCTTCCTTATGTTTAGACGAAGACGAACGACACTAAATTCTACTTCACGAGGAATAAATCAGGAAAACATTCCTGGAATTTGACAGTTGAACACGTTACTTGAATGATTGCAAATACAATTTCTCAGAAGTTGTTTCAGAGAAAGAAAATTGAAATTCAGTTTACAAACCTTGTGTATGTGCCAGGTAGCTTCCTTCATTGTTATGCAGTGTAAGACATAATTTGCATTCGTATGTGCCCAAATGGTTTTTCATGAAATATGGGTCCTTATTTAAATCGATTGTATCCAAAGCCAACTGTCTCAGCCTTTCGCGCCTGTCACGATTGGCCTCCGATTCTGAGGCAACACCACCAGAGCCAGTTTTGCCACCGACTCTGTGTTGGAAATCCATGATGAGGCTTCACAGACGGATTATGTAATCAAGAGCAACAGAGCAACCACCCGAATGAAACTCTGAAATAGAGAATTAAAAGCAAGTGAAGTTGTCATAAACTATACGTGTTTGGTAAGACGTTCAGGATATCAACAAACGGGAGAAATGTAATGTAACTTGCACGTTTGTTCTATGGTTTTAAACAACTGATTCGTTGAGTTCGGTCTGGTCTCAGAAGCGTACGTTACATAATGCTATGATAATGAAGTGTAATACTTGACTTTCTAACCCGTCTACTCTTAGTTTAATACATTTCAGTCAAGCCCGAGGATTTCGGATGAGCCTTTGCATTCCCCATCACTCTAGACTCAGTAAACTGAATTCTCCCTAATGGATCATTTTCGCTTGCTGTTGTGATTTGTAAGAAAAATGGTGCTTTATACCGACAATCTACCGATCCACGCGTACACGCACTTCACACAGGCCCGAAAAAACTGAGTCAGCTATCCAATAAGCAAAAGAACACTTTCTCCAGCAGAAGATTGAACCGCTGATATATCCATCATTTCATATAACTGCTAGTTTCGGTGGCAGAAATTCGTATTCTTTGACTAAGGCTATCGGTCGCAACTTTCGCCCGTGAAGTAATCTTCGTCGCACCAATATTCAAGGTGTTCCCATTTCTGAAGCTGACGGTTTTGCTTCTAAGCTTGCGTCTTCTTTTTTTAACATTTCCCATGTTCTCCCATCTCACAAATGCATGTTGTTTCATTCTCCCCCATATTATCCCTAGGGATGGTTGCCAAGTGCTGGTAGTCCTGATTCATTACGACGAAACTGCGTTCTCGCTAGATAAACAAAGGAGCGAGTTTATTAGTACCTACCTACCATTGGTGAGAGAAGTTTTCGTTTTGCATTGAACAGCGGTTGCATGCTAAAGCTGGGCAGCCAGTTAGGTGCCACCTTGTTTACTTTCAGCCGGTCTCATTGAGTGCACGAGACTCAGGATCGACCACCAAGGCACCAGCTCACCTGTCGACATCAGTTTACGTGCAATAAGGCTCCAAGCTTCAGTTAGTGTTCGGAAATGAAGCAACACCAAAAGGTGTCTGTTCATCATTCTTGAATATCTACCAACCAACGACAAAAAGGAAGAATTTTACGACAAACTTACCGAACTCTAACGGTTGAGCAGTAGCTCTCTCTCCTTTTCTGTTCAACTTTCTCGTGGATATAATTCTTGAAACAGCCCTATCCTCGTGCAGGGATAGCGGTATCGATTT